TCGGCTGGGCCTGATCCTCGGCTGCGGGCAGCCCGTGCCGAGTTAGTTCTTCCTGCCTTGGCCCGGAGGGAAGAGAGGCGCAGGCGGTTGAAGTAAAAACCTGAACAGCTGGCAGGAGAAAGGCCTCGCTAACGGGCTTCTCGGTCATAATCGGGACCTTTCTGCCCCACCTGCTGCTGTGGGGCCCAAACAGCACGGGCTGGGGCTCCTTCCCGCCGCCGTCCTGGCAGGCGGGCCCGGAGGCAGCAGGAGTGCGAGGGACCGGGCTGTTGGTAGTCCAGGACTGCAGGGAGATGCTGTCTAAAGGGTTGGCATGTTGGATGAGCGAAAGGCTGTTGGATTTCGTTCTTCACAGCCTCCAAAAATGACAGGCCCCAAGAAGCTGCTTTCATGTGCAGAACTTCCTCTGTGAGGTGGCCTAGATTTGATGGGAGATGAGGCTGCTTCTCCTTTGCCTTTTCCTGGAAAGAGAAACTTGAGTGCCTTCACCAGGGATGCATAGCGACATTTTGTTTTCTCAGAGAGGGCTGTGAGCAGTAACAACAAACTCTTGACTGCCAGGCTTGAATGCCTTGTTTTCCTGCACAAAGTACAAAGTTTCTCAAGAGGTCAGAGGTTTGAAATCCAGGCGGTAGAGTGGTTTAAGCTGTTAACTTGGGTCAGGGCTCGCTCTCTGTGTAGAAGGCAGCACATGCTAAAGACTCTCCTTTTCAAAATAGGGTAACTACAAGTAGCCTGCGTGCACAGCTGAAAGCCTGGAGAGGAATCCTGCAGGATGAAGCCTGTCATTGTGGTTCATGGTGGAGCTGGCCGTATCTTTAAAGAACGAGAAGAGGGAAGTCGCGCTGGTGTTGTCAGAGCTGCGCTGCGAGGTTATGGTATCCTGAAACAGGGTGGCAGTGCTTTAGATGCAGTTGAGGAGGCAGTACGATCAATGGAAGATGATCCTCTTTTTAATGCAGGTAATTTTTCAACAAGTGGGTGGGTTTAGAATCATCACGTGTTTCAAGTGTTTTGCCCTGATGCTGCTGAAAATGCTGGCTTGTTGTGGTGGGTTAACCCCAGTCAGCAATTAAGCACCACACAGCTGCTTGCTCACCTTCCCCAGTGGGATGGGGAGAGAATCAGAGGGAAAGGTAAGAAAAGTTGTGGGTTGAGATAAGAATAGTTTAATAATTGAAAATAAATGAAATAATGATACTACTAACACTACTACTAATGATGATAATGTGTAATGGAAAGGAAAACTGTAATGGAAAAAAAAATCCCAAGTGATACAGCTGCTCACCTTCCACTGACCAATGCCCAGCCAGTTCGGGAGCAGCACTGCCAGCCTGGACAGCTTCCCCCATCTTATATACTGAGTATGACAATTTATGGAATGAAATACCCCTTTGGTCAGTTTGGCTCAGTTGTCCTGGCTGTGTCTCTTCCCAGTTTCTTGTAGAGAAGAAGCTGGGAAAAGATACCAAAGACTCTCCTTGCAGAGAAGCAGCTGGGAACACAGGTGTAGTATGAGAAACTGAAAAAGTCCTTGGCTTAATGTAAACATTGCTTGGCGACAGCTAAAGACGTATGTTGTCAGTATTCTCTGCACAAATCCAAAACATAGCCTCACACTAGCTACTCTGAAGAAATTTATCTCTATCCCAACCAAAACCAGCACGCTTGCCTTTTCTTTGAATTATGCACATCGCAGTAGAGTAAATACTGACATCACAAAATAGTTTATTTCTCTTGTGAGTGAGTACACTTAGGCAGATGAGATACTTTTCTAATTTTTCAGTGTTCTGTACCTGCCATTTCATTCTCGTGGAGCTGTATTACATTTCTGTGAGTCTTCTCCCGTTACTGTGCTGTGTATTCAGTTTTAAGACATGGACTCCTTAATGGAGTATATGTCTAATTAATGTTCATGGTTAAGGCACTTGAATATAGTTTGCAGCAATGTTTAAGCCTTAATGCTTGACCTTTACCTGTTGCCAGAGGAATACCGTTCTTGCGTATTTTAAGTGTTTTTCTTTTAATTAATGCTTGCAATTAGTGCTTTTGTAAATAATATTACAGAAATAATGCTGTGATGGCATATGAGTCACAAATTTATATAGTAAGGGTTCATAACTGGATTTCCTAATGATTAATGTTAATTAATTTTCATGTCGGTAGTTGAATATTTTTCTCCTCTTAATAGGACCTCAAATTAATAAATTTGATGAAATTCAGTCAAAATATTTCCTCACCCTCACCAAGGTATGTCAGGAATGAACATGGAAAGAAAGACCTGTCAGCGTTCAGTGTTTTAGATAACATAGCTGTTAGTTATGTGCAAACTTAATTTGCAGAGATTCTCACCTTGTAGTTGAGAGTGAGGGAGAGCTTTTACTTTGTGTGAAACTTTCAGTGTTTTGGTTACTGACTGGGGTTGAACATCTTGATTTTTAGAGGATTCAAGCTGAAATCATGAAGTGGACTTAGAGGTGTGGTGTGTACTATTGACATCAGGGTGGTATTGTCTCATTTAACTTCTATTTCATGTGTTCTTTAGATCAGTTACTATTCTTTAAGATTTTGTTTTGCTCAGGTCAGTAAGTCACCAGAATAGAATAGAATAGGGTATTTCAGTTGGAAGGGACCTGCAATGATCATCTAGTCCACCTGCCTGCCCACTTCAGGGCTAACCAGAAGTATGTTATTAAGGGCATTGTCCAACTGCCTCTTAAACACTGACAGGCTTGGGGGCATCGACCACCTCTCTAGGGAGCCTGTTCCAGTGTTTGACCACCCTCTAAGTAAATAAATCCTTCTTGATGTCAGTGTAAACCTCCCTTGACACAGCTTTGAACCATTTCTATGTGTCTTGTCACTGGGTAGCAGGGAGAACAGCTGAGCATCTCCCTTTCAATGTCCCCTCTTCAGGAAGCTGTAGCAAGCAGAGAGGTTGCCCCTCTGCCTCCTTTCCTCCAAAGCTGACAAGCCCAAAGTCCTCAGCCCACTCCTTACTGGACATTCCTTCCAGCACCTTCACCACTTCTGTGGTGGACATTCACACTCTTCTTAAATTGAGGGGCCCAGAACTCCAGGTGAGGCTGCACCAACACTGAATACAGCGGGATAATACCCTATTTGACCAGTTGCTTATGCTGTTGGATGTGCCCCAGGATGTGCTTTGCCCTCCCAGCTGCCAGGGCAGGCTGTGGACTCACAGTGAGGCAGCAGCACCCCCAGACCCCTTTCTGCAGGGCTGCTCTCCAGCCACTCCTCTCCCAGTTTATACTTGGGCCTGGTGTTACTCCATCCTAGGTGGCGAATCCATCATTTGGACTTGTTAAATTTCATCCCGTTAATCCTTGACCAGTGCTCTAATCTGTCTAGATCCCCCTGCAAGGCCTCCTGTCCTGACTCAAGAGAGTCAACAGCACCTCCCTGTGTGGTACCATCAGCAGACTTGCTAATGGCACATCCAGATAGCTGATAAGGATGTTGAACAGAACTGGCCCTAAAATTGAATCCTGCTGGAAATCAGTATCTATTGACCTTTGGCTGTCTGTATGCTTCTGGGTTGTACCAAAATATCTCTCTGGCAAGAAGATTTAGATTTGCTATTTTAAAAAGGCAGGAAAAGATTCCTAATTCTTGAGAAGGATCTCTGCAGTGCTGTTCTGCCTGACATTAGGAATCCAGTGTTGATGTGGAAGCAACTTCAGTGTAAACTCAAGCTTAAAGATTGTTTACACCTCTTTTTTTTAATCATTCCACGTAGGCATTTGCATACTTTCTTGGTTTCTTATACACTAGTTTTGATGGTTCTGTAAATCAGAATTATTTAGATGTGAAATACATTTTAGCTCAGTGTGACTCTCGGGGATGAAAGCTTACTGTATAGCGATCTGTTTAGGCTCACTTAACTTGTACACAACACTGAAGCATTTGGGCAGTCCTCTTAAGTAGGATCACAGTAACTAGCAATATTCTTTGTTTAACCTTTATGTGGGATCCCGTTACTGTTAGTGCTTTTTCTCAGCCGTGCTCTCTCGCAGCGTGCCATCATTGAACTGACGCCTGCCAACAGCGTATGCTCCTCTCGTTTGAGGGTAGGACCTTAGACTCCGCCACATCCCGTGACTAACACACAGTTAAAACTTAACATTTTGCTTAGCATACAAAGTGCAGTAGGTGCTCATGACACACTTTTTCATGGTCCAAGGTCACATTTATCCTTCCTGAAATATACGTTGAATTATTTTTTTGTCTTTGTGTTTACTTCAATTCGTCTTAACAATATTTTAACCTTGTTTGTGGTATATTTAATAAATAATTTTTAGCAAAATTTGCTTAAACTGGACTTGAGCCTTAAGCTCTTGATCAAGTTTGACTATGCTGATCTAAGTGGCAAATGGTCTGGTAATCACAGATACTTCTAATTGTATTAACGCTCATTTGATACAGTGCTCTCAGTAGCTGGTGAAAATGAGCTGAAAGCAATGTGAAGAGGACCCTGATTGGAGTGGCTGTTTAAAACTCACCATGAGGTATTTATCTTTGTAATAGAAAAATCAGTTTTACTGTAATATTTTCTAGGGAAACACAGACATTGCTAGGAGACAACAATAAAGATTGGGAAGAATGGGCATAACAATCAAGTTGTGTCCCTTTTTGAATGATAGGGTGTAGCCACGCTGTGTAGATGCTTCTTGGTGGAGGGGCTCAGAAGCTATACCGTTGCCTAAAACTACCATTTTAGTGACTTGTGCAGCATAATGAAGTCATCAAGTTTTGCTTGTGGTGAGGAAGTGGCCTTGGTTATATTTCCTTCGTGTGATCACTTGGACTGGCAGTATTAACTGGCTTGGTGTGAATACTCCAGATACAAGAGCTGTCATTATAGTGAGCCTTGCACCCTCTTTCCTCCTCAGCCTTTGCATGACAGGGGATAGATCTATGTATCTAGACACAGAGGGAATTGGAGATAGTGGGAATTACCCTTGCTGTGATTTGGGTAACATCAGACACGTTCGGTAATTGTGTCAGATTTGTTAGATTTTCTGGCTTCAGTTGTCTGTGTTTTTTTCCCCCTGCCCCGTGCTTCACAAGTGAGCCAAACTCTTATTTTTTCAGTGTTGCTGCCGGTGGATACCATAGCCTCAGAGGCAGGTAGTCCCTACCCATCGTGCTGGAAGGCAGGTGAAAAGACTGTGTGTAACCACAAACGGAAGGATTCATCTACCTCAGATAGCTCAGAAGCTCAGTATCCAGCCTTGGCATGGTGTCCAGGCTTTCACAGTGGGAATGAGGAAGGATGGTTATACAGCTCTCTAAGGCAAGTGGGATGAATTGTTCTCAGACGGCACCTGTCTCTTCACCGACTGTAAAAGGTGGCTTTTGTAGGAAGCTGCCTTTGACTACAGGAACCCTCCACAACTGTTTTCTACTCAGGATGTTCTAGGAAATCCTAAAATGTATCCCATGAGGGATGTCCAGTAGACATAGAATACTATTAATGTGGCGATGATGTGGGTTGGTAGAGCTTCCCCTGGAACCACGGTGCTGGTCACTGGTACTTGAGAAGGGGGTACCCTAGTTTTCGTGGGAATTTTGTGATCATGAGCTGCAGAGCCTACCTTGTCAGAGGAAGCTAAAAGAGTGTGGCAGGGCTTATCTAAGGAAACAGAGATGACTTACTGCTTACACCAGCATAAAGGAGAAGCTGGGGGAATGATGTTTTTAACACGGGTGGCACAAAGAAGTTACCTGTAATCTCTCCATGGATCAGTGTAGTCTAGAAATTAGTATGTTACGAACAATACAGGGCTGAACTCTGGAATTGCTTATGCAGTCAGAGAGGGGCAAAAAATAACTTGGGGGGCATGTCTGTGTGTGGCAGGGAGAGTTTTGGAGATAACAGGAGGATTACAGAACTACTACTACGGTATAGAACTCATGTCAGCAAGTTTTAACAATAGTTTCTGACCTGCTGTAGTGTTGGTTTAACAGAAATTTTAAAGTTTTAGGTCTCTACAGTGTTCAAGTCTTTCTGCCTGAGCTACTGTATAAGTCTGTGTTTTGGGGTTTTTTTACATGTTTTTAAATTTCACCTTCTCCATCCTTACTAGCAAGGCTTGTGCACTTGATGACTTAAAGCTGATTATTCCCCTGTGATACAGTTATTGGCGTTGTTAAAAAAAGACTATTTGCGTTGTTTCATTTTGTATCTCATTAATTTTCAATTACGTTAGTGGTAGCGCCGATAATTATAGAGGAGAAAGACTACCCAACATTTTATTACTTGATTTTTTCTTCAGCTGTTTTTATTTGGTAATGAAGAACTGGTTATTTCAAGCTTTTGTTACACTAGTGAGTGGACACTTTTATTCTGCTCCATCAGTTTTGGCAGTTTCTTGGAATGCTATGTGACGTTAATCTGTTGATAGGATTGAACTCTACACTCTCTTGTGGGGTTATGTTGTATTCTCCTTCAGAAGAACTGTAAAGGTGAAATAGTTTTATGTGCATTTGAAGTGATTTGGGGGTAAAGAATTTTGTTCATGATTGATTGTTATTTTAACTTTCCTACCTAGTATATCATTTTGGATGGGATTGGAAGTGTGTTTTTCATCTTACAAAAAGTAAAACTCAGTTGTTAAGTAGATGTACCCTGTGAGACTCCTGTTAATGGTTGGATTTTGTGGTTATACTCAGCAGTGTTTCTGCTGTTCTGTTTGCATTCAGGAGATCCTTCCAATGTCAGACAATAAACTGGGAAAGAGGAAGTTTTCTTGATGAGATCTAATAATTGAATCACAGATTCACAGAGTGGTAGGCGGTGTAAGGGACCTCTAGAGATCATCTAGTCCAACCCCCTGCCAGAGCAGGATCTCCTAGAGTAGATCACACAGGAACAAGTCCAGGCGGCTTTGGAACGTCTCCAGGGAAGGAGACTCCCCCACCTCTCTGGGCAGCCTGTTCCAGTGCTCTGTCACCCTCACAGGGAAGAAGGGTTTCCTCATGGTCAGGTTGAACCTTCTGTTTTCCAGTTTATGGCCATTGGCCACTGTCCTGTCACTGGACACCTGATGGTTAGCTCTTAATGACTGATTTTTTTTGGGTTTTTTGGTCTTTAGGATGTGGATCTGTTCTAAATGAAAAAGGTGAAGTCGAAATGGATGCCATTATCATGGATGGAAAAAATTTAGACTCTGGAGCCGTATCTGCAGTTAAATGTGTAGCAAACCCAATAAAACTTGCTCGACTTGTCATGGAAAAGGTATGCTGAATATGTACTTGAATATGAAGCATTTTTTCCCTCAGAACTTCAGCCAGTATATTGATACACTTCAATGATGATGCTTGTGTAGTGCTTTAGAGCAGGAAAGAAGGGAGAAATGGATGGTAGTGTTTGGCAACTATGATCATGACCATGAAGAACTTCTATTTTAATGTCTTTTGAGAACTATTTATTAAAAATAGTTTTCTAAGGAAACATAAGTTCTGCCATGCAATTGGAAGCTCAAGGAGAAATTTGCCCTGTACATGTGTGTCTACAGCTGGTGTTCAAGATTTTAGGGGTTATTTTGTTTTTTTGAAGAGCTTTATGCTGTCACCAACTCTTCTGCTTGATCTTGCAAGATTAAAGTTGGATAGTGTACTGTTGACTTTGCAGTGACATCTTTGGCCATGTAGCACACTGATCTTGTTCCAGGTGGCCTTCTCCATTATGACCTAATCAGATGGTAGCCTCAGTGCAAAGTTATGGTCTTCCAGCAGTAGAAGATAACATTAGCATTATGTGATGGTGACAGATTTTTTTCCAAGAGAATCAAACTTACCAGGGCAGGAAAATTATTATTAATTGACCTTCTACGTAAAATTAATCCTACTTTACTCCACTAAGAAGTCCTTACAATGTCTGCCACAACAGACCTCTCTCGTTTTTCAGACATGGTGCAACTGGTATGGTTCAAGGTGGAGTAGGTAATTTCTGTGATACTTGTATCTGTTTTGCTATTACTAGTGATCCATGCATCTGTTTTTCTATTACTAGGCTGTGACAGTGATCAGAAAGTTTGTACTGTCTTTGGAGTTTATATTTTTCATCCCACCAGTGCAGCTGCCCCATTGTTGAAAAGGATTCCTATTTGCAAAAACACAACAAAGAAAAATCATGTTTCTTTAATATTTTGAAGTGACTTTTGAGGAAATAAAACCTCTTTTGGTGATCTCTAAAGATAATTAAAATATAATTTGTCCTCAGTAGCCTTCAAAGAAGATGGGAATTTTTTTTGACGGTAATTGGAGGATAGTTCTGCTTTTAAAATCAGAACTTTTCACTGAAGTATTTAATATATTAGTGAAATCTATGGCTACTAGAAAATAATGTTAAAACTTGTGATGAATATGCTTTCTGTTCCTTCATATGGGATTTATTCAGTCATTTAGATAGAACAAATAAATAAGTGTAGTTGGTAGACAAAATCACAAGACCAAATTTTTCAAAATTTGAGAATGTAGGTGGAGGGTTGGGGGAGAGATGGCTTCTAGCATGTTGGGGGGAATGTTGATTTTTCTGTTTTGTTTCTCTCTAGATCACTGTCTTTTAATGCCCATTATTTAGTCCATATTCCAGAATTACTGATCTGTTTTGTTGTTGTTGCCTTCTCCATGACAAAATTCCATTTAAGTCAACAAGAATGAAGTGAAAGCAACGCTTTTGGGTTTTGAGAACATAACTTTCCAAAGTGTTATTAAAACAAACAAACAAATAACAAAAAAAAAAACCCACCAAGCCCAAACCAAAAAAAAGTCTCATTTGTCTTTTTTTTTTTTTTGTGTATTAAAAGGTCTGTCTTATAACTGTGTGGAGTTTCTGGTGCTCATAAATATTGAGGCTACATTTGAAGGGAAATAATAAAATTCAGCTGTACAGGACTAAGGATAATAGTGTAGCCCTAAACCCGTGAAATTTTACAGTAAAGTACATTACTCTTTGCCCAAATGCAAAAAAATTCTGACTAGATGACAAAGTTCAACTGTAAATGTTAGCTTAAATTGCTTGATATATCTTGAGGTAAGTTTCTACTGCTTCTCCATCAGGTATTGTAAATGGGAATACCAACTGTTGTTACTCTTCTTTTTATCTTAGACAGGAATTCTGGGACACCAATCCAGCCTATTTCACAGTGCTTCTCAGAGTGTATTTTGCTTTGGTTTACTGTGCATAATTAAAAATATTTTTAAGTCTGTGACCCATGGGTAATAAGACTAGTTTTCCTGGATCCTAAGCAGGTTAGGATGCATATTTCCCAATGGCTTTGAGATGCTTCACTGCCTTAAGGAATTCTGAAACATGCAGCTCCCAAAACTAACCAAACAAAGCAAAAAAAAAAACCCTCCCCACCTGCTTATGATTTTCTGTATTTCCATTCCTATTATAGAACAATCTGGGCTCCATCTGGTGGCCACAGTAGCTCTTCCAGGTGGTTGCTGCACACATTGATCCTAGGTGCTGTTGCATTCTCACTGGCCTCCAACTTGTCCAGGTTCATGGGGTAGAAGAAACGAGGGCACCAGAATAATTTCCATTCATGATTTACTATGCTGTTGAACACAGCAGCCCCTAGAGAGGGAGGGTTATTAGTATGTTAACTAATTAATTCAACAAATCCTTGAGAAAGCAGTTAAATTCCTGTTGAATTATTACTGTTGGTAGTAAAAAATTAGAATGATACATTAAAAAGGCTTTTTATTTATTTTCAAATGGGGCATGTAATCCTTCTCAGCTCCAATGCTTCATTAAGGGAGCATCTCCTGAGCACTGATTCACTGGTATATATGAACTCTGTGTAAGTGTTCCCCTACTATATCATCCAGCCCTTTACATTAGACAAAGGAGAATTGAGCTGAGAACATACAATCACAGAATGGTTTGGGCTGGAAGGGACCTTAAAGACCATCTAGTTCCAACCCCCCTGCCATGGGCAGGGACACCTTCCACTAGACCAGGTTGCTCAAAGCCTCATCCAGCCTGGCCTTGAACACTTCCAGGGATGGGACATCCACAAACATAGGCTGGGCAAACATGGACTTCTCAAGGCAAAGGTACAAATTTTCACTGAGCTCTGCGCACTGCCAGGATTGTTAAATGAAGGACAGCGATAGTCTGAATTTCAGGTCAGCTGCAGAAATTTGGGGGATTTTCTCTTCCCTGTTTCCCCCATGAAATAAACTAAACTTGCCAACATTTGTTGTTTGTTAGTAAGAGCTCTGGAACCCTTTATTTTGTTTGCATATTTGGATTACTTTATATAAATGTATCATGGAAAAATTAGGCACTTGGGAAAGTTAGCAAACTTATCCATTGAACTGTGGAAGGATGAGACGGATAAATGTGCTTTTGGGTTATTTGGCAATGTTCTACCAGCTCTTTTGATTGACAAGATGTATTGAAGACAAAACCAAATCAAATTCTCTTTAGAGTACCTTCTGTTTAGTGAGGACTGGAAAAAAAAAAAAGAAATCAACCCACCCCAAAGCCTACCATACAAGCTTATTCCTCTCTATGCAAGTATTCCCTGTTTGTGCAGCTCAGTTAGGTGGGTATGTTATCCGAATCTGTATATGGGAGGGAACCCTTTGAAAAAGCTTTAAGAAATAACTTCTATTTTTTATACTAAAACTTTTTTTTCTTTAACTTGTTTAAAGGGGGATCTAGAGTCTTAATTGCTGAAGAAAGCAAGTGATGGAGGACACAGCCTTCTGATACATTTAAAGTCAAGAGAAAAGTTCAGTGTGTTTCCTAAAAATAAGACCAAAAAACCCACCAAAACCCGTTGGCCTTAATGGATCGTGCAATTCTGGTGGTTTAGTGGCAGTGGCAGAGGGGGGCAGTGCTGCACAAGGAAGTTCTCGTTCAAGTGGAAAGATCATTTCAGCTCTGTTAGAAGTAGGTAGGTCTGGTGACATCGCTCAGCACCTAAGCCTGTTCTCCGTATACATGGAGGACTTCTTCCTTGTAACCCTTACTCTTGTTCCCTAAATCAGTACTCTCAAGAACTGAGGACTTCCTTTGTCAACAAAAGGACATTTAAATTCTCAAAACTGTTTGATGTCGGGGCCATCACACCGTGAATGACTGTTCAGGAATGTTTCTGAAGTGTAGTGAGTTCCCTGCTTGTGTAGGCAGCTGAAGGATTTAGTGCAGAGGCCGTAATAGGCTGAAGCCGTGTCTGTGGTTTGGGAAGAGGCTCAGCTCGAATCCTTCAAAACAACGCAGTGCTGTGGGTTGGTCAAGACAGCGGTTGCTTGTCTTTTCTTTGGGAATTAGCAGAAGTTGCTGGCTTGCAACCTCTTAAGAGTCTGAAGCTTTGAGACTGTAGATGTCCTGCGGGATGCAGCTTGACACAAAAATACCCAACTGGCATCCTTGCTTCAGGCTGAGAGCAGAGTTGGTGCTGCTGCAGTCTCCTGCTTGGCTCTACAGGCCTGCTGCATCCAGATTCAGGTGGTTCGACTTTTTGGGCCTCTGCCTTTTGGTACCTGTGTGCTGTGTTGCTGCATGGACATAAAAGCTTGCTTGAAGTTAGCTGCTGTGCTCTGAAAGGACTCCATACTGTGTAGTCAGACACCCACTCTGTCAAAACTCAGCTGATGAGCCCAGAACAGCCATCTAGTGGTCCAAGAAGTCGATACTTATTTTTGGACATAGATTTAAAAGACAAGAATCAGATTTTAGAGCTCCTACTAAAGTGTAAGGATTAATGAAACAAATTTATCTGGCAAGTGCCTCTAAAATAGGAATTAACCAAACTGTACAGACTTTGAAGTATGGAATTAACTAAGGTTGTTGACTTGAAATCCAGCCTAAGTGCTTTGGTAAATGAAGGAATCAAAACAGAGCTTCTGCAAATGTTGTTAGAAAAGAGCAAATATTTTTTGTCAAGCCTGGGAGAACAATTTTCTGTTCTTAAATTTAAAATTCTGAGCCTGTAAGAGTAGCAGCTAGTTGAAAGAAGTATTTAAAATAAAATGGTGCAACTGATGTTAAGAAACAATATAGCATGTAATATTTACATTTCGGAGTTATTTTACTCCTATAAGATGTGCAATACTTTTGAACAGGACAGGATTTTATTTACCATTCTTTCTTTCTGAGTAAAATCCTTCTAGATCTCGGTTAACTGGACAAAACAGTTAGCTAAGTGATGATTTTGGGATTGACTGCAAACAACACAAAGATGTTGGGTGATTGACTACAAACAATAGAAAAAAATTGCATGCAAATTAGAAAAAGAGCAAGTTTACCTATTTTTATTTTCTCATTATAAGAAAAATAGATAAATGCAATTCTTTTCTACTAATGATGAAAGTTTGTACATGTGTTTTGGAGAGCTGAAAATATTTTCAGCTAGTGAAGGAGGTTCTAGGCATAGAAATCTAGAAATTTTAAAACAGAAATTGGAATTTTCTTTGTGTGGATAGTTCTAAAAATAACAAGTGATTACGCAAAACTGCTCGGTACGAGGCAAAACAAGAATTGTCAGTGAATCTCTTTTCTGTCTCCTGCAGACGAAGCACATGTTGCTGACTGACCATGGTGCACACCTCTTCGCTCAGGCCATGGGTATTCCTGAGACGCCAGGGGAGAAACTCATAACTGAGAGATCCCGGGAGAGATGGAAGAAGAACCTTGAGCCAGATTCCAACCCTGAAGAGTTTCAGAAGTAAGGTTTTTGTAAAATGTATTTTCTTTCCTTTTTAAATTTGGGTAATTTAATCTGTGTTCTAAGTTAAAACAAAAAACAAACAAACAAACAAACACAACAAAAAAAAACCCACACCACAAACTTGAAGTTTGTATTCAGACTTGAGAATACTTCAGTTCGGAGTGTTACATGGTTTGATACAGTCGCCACAGTATGTCCTCAGTGAAAGTAATGGAAAAATCAAGCTTTCAATTAATTTGATCAAGTGTATGTGACTGGAACAAACTTGACCAAACGTGTTGATGCTTAAGATGATTGTCGGTCTCTCTGACATAGCACAGGTTTTGTGGCATTAATGGAGAGCAAAGTTAGAACTTGCTCTTAAAATGAACAGTTATGGAAGAGCATAGAGGGGCTGTAGCAAGAAGCAGGCATCACTTGGTAAAGTTCTTTTCCACAGAAGCACTGCAATTTAAAAAAAAATCTCCAGTCCACATTTTAAAACAAATCCATGAAAAAAAACCCTAATAAAGCTGATCTTGGTTAAGTAGATGATCAGATTTGTCTATAAATTGGATTAGGTAATTAAACAAAGTAGGATTTTGACTAGGAGTGCCGATTGTGGCTGTTGGTTATTGTAGATAAGAATGAAAAAAAAAAGGACCAAGAAGTTCAGTGTAGTTGTAGGTGTGCAAAGAGATGCTACTGGATGGTATTGCACAACAACAAAATGAAAGTCACTTGAAAAAGAAACAAGTCTTGTATAAAGTGGAGAGGAAGGTGAGGTGGAGAGGAGAGGAAGGAAAAATCATCAGGGGTCAAAAACGTTTTTATGCTGTGAGGTAAGCATAAATACTGAATTGTTTTGAGCTTCCATTTGTCCCTCAATGGTTGTGGCAAGGGAAAACACTGCCTTACATTACATAAACACTGTATTACGTGTTGTTGATCTGTTCTGTGAAATAGTAGTAACGAGGGAAGCAGAGCTGAAGAATTTGCAGATCAAAAGGAGGAAATTTCTTCTGTGGGCATGTTAATTAAATTCCATGAAATGAGGCTATAAACTACAAGCTATATGTTATTTTCAGTAAATTGCTAGAAGAAAAAAGAAATTCATGAGGTAAGTGTAAATATGGTCTTAAAAACAAAGTGAACTTTTTCCTTGACCGTAAGTTCTCAGTCGTAGTTCATCGTATATCCAACAGAAGTTTTCTTTTGATCCATGGTCTATCCAAGGACTGTGTGGTATTCTAATTCATTACAAAGAATTCTGAGGATGACGTAGCCCCTACTGCCACTTGGTCTCCTGAATATAGAGTTTGGAATGGCATGGCATCTGAGTCTCCATTCACTCTCTATAACTGCTTAGTTATTTTTTTCCTTATGGCAGTGTTAGGCATCTTCAGTTTCAGTGTTGTCTCTTTCTGGAATATCTGAAAATAGAAGGCTTGTGTGTTTCTGAAGGACTTGACTTTTTCTTCTTGTAGCCACACTGTTCTTTCTCTGACAACCAGTGTCCAGAACATCAGCACAAAATCACAAAGCTGAAAACAGGTCTTCTTTTAAGCAAGCCCGTTTGCTCCTGCATTGCTTGTGGAATGTTCTTTTTCCCTGTTACGTCCACAGTGATTATGCAGAAACTTGCCTGAGATGAACAGGCAGAAGGTGAAGTAGTATTAGTCAGGGGCAATGTAATACCAGGTCATAGTGGGAATTTGAAGGTTGGTGTGTACTTTACTTCCAGTCCTCTGTTGCTAACTGTGTTGAAAACTTGAGGGTTTACAGAAGCAAAGTTTGGTGGCTTGTTAGGAGAGACCCTTTTCTTCTGTTGGTTAGAAACCTGCATTCATTTCTGTTAAAATTTATGATTCCATTGCACGTACAACGTGGCATCTCGTGCACCTTCTGCTGAGACTAAAGTGTGGATTGGTTTGGTTTTGGTGTCTCACTCCAAAGATTCTGACCATACCTGTATCAAGAATTGATGGAGGTTGCCTGAGAATCCCACGGGAAGGGGTTGAGTCTGGCCATAAGGTGGTAGAGCTACTAGTCACTCTGTGAATCACAGTGCAAGAGGAACATGTAACCTCATGGGTACTGGATAACAGAGGATTTAGACAAAAGGGAATCAACAAATCCAAGCAATCTGTCTGTATCACAGTATATGCAGTACATAAGAGTAATTCTTGATTGAACCAAATCTTTACTACTGATAGCATCCTCTGGTATACCACAGGGACTTGTTGAAATTCTTACGCCTCTCACAAACTAACGATAGATGATCATAATATGTTAAAATGATTGCCCTCTCCCTGGCCGTCTTCAAGGCCAGGCTGGACGAGGCTTTGAGCAACCTGGTCTAGTGGAAGGTGTCCCTGCCCATGGCAGGGGGGTTGGAACTAGATGGTCTTTAAGGTCCCTTCCAACCCAAACCATTCTGTGACTCTATGATAGGTCTGTTTAGCCGGTTTTGCCTGCCTTGGTAATGTTTCTGAGTCAGCTAGCTAGGCAACAGATCATTTGTATCTTCTTTGCTATTGTTCTGAAATTGAACAAAGAAAATGTGATGCTGAAGCAATAAAAATGTTCAAGGGGACAATAGGTAATTGAGCGTAGCTGTCTGTTCGCTCTACTGCAGATCAGGTACGTTGGACACGTTCACTTTGTTATTTATTGCTGTTTGAGCTCTTGCACCTTAACCAATAGCTGCTGCGCTTGTGATCTGTGTACTTACGTTACTCTCACAGTTGCTTAAGGTAAATGCATACCCAGGAAAATGTATGTCTGGATGCACCTTTCTTACTTTCGGAGGAACATCTAACTTTAGTTGGTTGAAGGGTGCCACGTGAGTGTGCAAGGGCGTACTGAATTCACTAATGTTCCTGTCAGCAAATCGTTTGTAACAGATGGATGGGTGGGAAGCCCATCTGCACCATCATATCACTTTGAGATGAGGTCCATCTCCACAGAAATGTCAGAGCAGTTTGTAAGGCCTGTGATTCATCAGTCAACTTTGAATCGCTGTGAATGAAGTGTGGGGACTGGCGGTATGATATTTTACATAAGCAGGAGGCAACAGGAAGTTGGCTCTGTGAGAAATTGACTGTGGGTTTCGTGGTACACAGAGACTTTGTTGAACTTCATTAGCTCCGATTTTGGGAGGTTAGAGGCCTTCACCAGTGCCCAGGCAACTTCCAAAGGTATTCCTGTTCAAGCCATCTGTTGGGCAGTTCCTCGAAGGATTGATGCAAATTCTTCTCCTGTGTTGGAAGGATTTAGAATTTTTTTACATACTTCTCCTAGCCAGATACTGTTTTATATTCCTACGTGAATTGCCAAGACTGGAATACATGGATACTCGCTGTTTGCTTCTCAACGCTGCCTTGCTTCTCGGTGCAGCAACTGCTGTAGTAGGTTACAGTAGCCTTTATTCTCCGATTGTGAATACACATGTGTACGTTCAACAGCCTGTTATGTCTGACTTCCCTGTGCTGAAGAAATGGAGTAGTAGTTGAGACTACATTTTCTTCAGTGCAAGAGAATTTTTAAGCCGATGTGCAGTTTTGACAGATTCTACTTGCCAAGTGGTTTAAACCTCAAGATAATCTTCGCTACAAAGACAAAAATACGTATTAATGGTGCGTTGTGCGCAGTACTAGTTGAAAGGTACATAAATAACCTTTTTTTTTCTGTGGCGTTCAAACATTTAGGGAAATGAGGAAAGAGAAGGAACAGGAAGGAAATGATTCAGTGTATTCATAACATTACTCTTCTGTAGTCACTTGTTTACAGACATTGTCATTAATAACTCCGGTTAACCTCCCATTGAGACAGTGGAGACAATTCTTGTGTCTTTGAGTTGCTCTTTAGGGGAAAGTTGTGTGTCACAGCCAGAAAACTACTCCAGAACTATGATAGCTAGAAATATTTCTGCCCTCCGTGGGGTTTTTTTCTATGTTTTTTTCCTCCCCAAGTCAAAGTTTGAATGCTGTGAAGGTAAACAAGTCATGGAAGGAGATTTAAAAAACAAAAATCATGTGCTTTCAAGTCTTTTAAATAGAAAGCTGTGAGAATTGTTGCATATTGCTTGTTAATTTTGTAATGAGAAGCACGGTAAAAAAATAGCTTAATGATGAGCATTCATTTTTTTGCAGTAATCTTTGTTTTTTAAAGCTACCTGAAAAATAAATGCAACATGCTTTGGCAGGTATGCCTTAATTCTGCCTAATTTCATGAACTGTTTTTCTTGGCAGAGACCTTGGAACAGTCGGTGCTGTTGCTACAGACAGTGAAGGAAATGTAGCTTGTGCAACATCCACTGGAGGACTCTCTAATAAGCTGATTGGCCGTGTTGGTGACACAGCATGCATAGGTATGAGGCGTGGGGTCTTTCGTTTTTTGCAGATATCTCATGAAAAAAAGAAAAAGGTATCCCACACATTCTCCTTTTATTAGTGAAATGAAACATTAATATGCAGTACATCTGAAACAGAGGTCTGACATTCAGATGTGTCACAACTCAAGCTCCTGAACATAACATGGAGATTGCAGGTAGGGATTAGGGGTTGAGGTGTAGTGCTGTCATCATAGAATGGTTTGGGTTGGAAGGGACCTTAAAGACCATCTAGTTCCAACCCCACTGCCATGGGCAGGGACACCTTCCACTAGACCAGGTTGCTCAAAGCCTCATCAAGCCTGGCCTTGAACACTTCCAGGGATGGGGCATACACAACTTCTTTGGTTTCCATTCTGTTCATTCTGATACAGCTCTCCTTTTGTACATCTATGCTTCCAGCAAAGTCAAAAAATGTAGTGTGTTCCATACTAAGATGCTGTTTACTTGATACTTAAGGAAGTAGATGTCACACTAATTACTGTCCTTTATATCAATGAGACAGAATTGCAAAATGACTGGCAACTTTGAGTAAATTCCTGTTCTTAGAGAGACCTGATAAGGGTGCGTCAGAGCCCAGTAGGTGCAGTGTGGAATGTGGAATAAAGGAAATATTTCAAGAGATCTCGTGTCCAACTGTAAAGAGACACTTGAAATCCTTTCCCCAGACTGGTTTCTCTCGTGGGACAGACTTTCCATTTGATTGCTTCAGGGTTCTACCACACAGTTTGGATTTGGAAAATAATTATTTTTAGTAAAACATGTTCCAAACTCAAATAGCACTGTTGTTGGCAGGACATGATTGTTACAGAACTAACACTAACTTTCTCTCGCACCCTTAGTTGTTAATATTTTGGTACCCTCTGCTTTTTGACTGTAATTTTTCACCTTCCTGTCTGACTGCAAATGGCCTTCTCTTGCGTAGGTCGTGTTCAGGGCTCCTACAGTATGGGACGCGTCTGTGAAGGACGAGTGAAACTGGGCAGTGTTGAGGGTATTTCTTTCAACTTTTGCTCTTAGGAGAGAACTGCAGGACTGCATATGGAAATGCTAGCTGGGCTTTTAAGTATTAGAGCCTTTGGAAAGGGGGCTTTGACAGAACGATTGTGGCAGTGTTCTCCCACGTTAAACTGGGGTCCGTTAAAAGGGTCTGATCTGATCTAGAAAGTACAGAAGGGAAGAAACTGTCATGGCTTTTCTTTGCCTCTTTCCCCTCCCCCAGTACCTTGTTTATAAAGCTGTGGTATGCTCCTCCTGAGCTCCTGGGAAATATTTTTCTTAGGAGATGTGCTAGAAACACGAGTGTTGAGCAAGCGGAAGCTTGGTGGAGAACAGGGTGTGGAATGTGCGAGCAAAACAAGGATGGGTGGGAAGTAAAAGGGGTTGGAGGGTAGGAGTTCAACAGAAGAAACAGTGCTTGTGGTGAGGACTTGCAGGATTCTTCAAGGGTGCTTCACTAGAGCCCAGGCTCTTCAATTCTCTTACCTGCTTTTGTGGGTAAGTGTACCGCCCCCCAAACTTGGTCAATTCACCAATGTTGTGTCCTTCATACCTTCTCACTGGGTGATGTTGTGTGGCCAGGCATTCTGCATCCCATTGCTATCTTGCTGATCCACAACATACCATCCCTTGCTGTTCTGGAAAATACTTTTGCTCATCCCCAGGAAGTGTTGGCCTGCTCCTGCGTCTTGTGCCACAAGCAGATCACTAGTCTTGTAGCTCTCGTAACTTGGCAACTGACTTAATCCAGCTGTTGTTCATATATTTTACTTTCCAAACTGAGGCAGAAATGAGAAAGAAGTCAGTTACTGATGCTGTGCTCCCAGAAGTGCGCAGAACCGCCGGGCCTTGAGGAAGAAATGTTGGGTGCCTATATTTAACAACAGGGAGCTTGTAAATTGTATTACAGAATGTTGCCACTTTTTTCTTTCTTTTTTTCCCCTCTGCAAAGGAAGTGGAGGTTATGCTGACAACTGTTCAGGTGCCACTTCAACCACGGGACATGGGGAGAGCATTATGAAAGTGGTCTTAGCCCGACTGATCCTCTATCACATGGAGCAAGGTATATTCCAAACTTCCTGTAAGCTGAACTGATGAGGATAGGAAACGTTGCCTCGTGACAGGTTCCAGTTTAGGTACTGTCACCCTGGAACAGTTGTCAGAAGAGTTGCTCCCAGGGGTATGTGGATGGGTCACCTCTCTTTAAAAACAAAACGAAGTACTAAAGTATTAATAAAGCTAAAACAGTCTTGTGTGGACAGAAATGTCTGTGCTGCTAGATCTTTAATCATACTTTAGATCAGTGTACATTGACAGACATTATTATCTGCTTTGTTTAAGTAAAGTTCTCACCTCCACATTTTTAAACTAAAATTTTATGACCAAAGAAACAACAGAAAACAAGTAAAAGCAAGATATTTTTAAGGAGTATTAAAACTCCAGCTCTAAGTAGGAGAGGGCTAGAGCTAGATAATCAGAGCTGAAATAAGAAAGCAGAGAATATCACCTTTCTAATAAACTGTAATGGTCTTCATTTTAACAACTCTGATTATAGCAACAGCAGTGCCTTTAAGACGTTTTAACTATGATTTAAATTTTCATTTTGTTTTGGAAAATGGACTAAACGGACTGGGTGGGCATGTGGTAAACAGCTGACACAGTATGTCTTCTGTGACTGTCATCTAATCTGCCTGTGGGATGACCCTTCAGAGCTTTACCTTCACGAGTTAGTCTGTCATCTAAACCCTTGATTATATTACCGCCTGTAAACAGAGCCAGACAACATACTTGTAGTGCACGCGGTTGGAGAACCGTGAATACAGATATCACCATTATTTTTAGAAAGCCATGGCTTTTGGGCAGTACAGCGTAACTTGCTTTGCGATCAACCGAGATGGAAATATCTCAATTTACGTTTTCCTTGGACAAGCAGTAAGTAGGGGGACAGGCAAAAGCTGAGAATATTTTTGTTATGCTTTACAGAGCAGTTTGCATGTAATAGGTACATTTCTCTGTAGATCTCTTGGCTAATGTGATGGTTACAGCATAAAGTACAACCTACAGATTATTTCCCGAAGCTCTAACACATTATGATCTGCCCTTACTCTGTATATGATGTCCCTAGCCAATTCGTCAATGGGCTTTTGAGCTTTTTTTAGCCTAAACTGTGCAAACCAGGTCCTTCTCTGGCCTGAAGCCACCTTCATTGCAAAACCCATGCATTACCTGGCTTGTGATAAATCAGTATGAAAGGCAGATGAGGCTCAAATTAAATATTTTTTAGAAAAAGAGAAAAGAAAATGAACCTGTGTGTGTGCTTGTGTAATTGGTATGCACTTGTTCACCCTGCCTGTGCTTGCCCTACCCTCATTCATCCTGCCCAGCCGTGTAACTGGGCTGCTGGGAAGATACATCAGCAATAGTCTTCCCCCCGCCCCACCATGAAGGCGCTGAAAACAAACCCTCGAGTTGTTGTAACTTTCTGAGTCCTTGAACAGTCAACTGAAGTTGCATAGTTAAGAACAGCTATAGAGCTTTCTCATAATTCTGTTCAGCTGTTGAGGAATTCACACAGTAAATACCTTCTTGCAGACCAATGCTGCAAAATTTGCTTTCATATTTCAGGAGGGAATTGCTTTGCCGGTCTTAACAGCTGTTGGAATCTCTGTCTTATGGTGGCAGCTGTTGTCTTGATGAAAAATCAGAGAGTGAAATACTGACCCTTTGAAGTCAGTGCCACTGACTTGAATAGCCCCAGTGTCACCCCTAACGTCAGAAAGGAGCTTTATCCTGTCAGTCACCAGTGCTATGAATAATTCTGACTCTGCTGGTTTTGTTTGGTTTTAACGCAAAATTTGCATGAAGGACAGTTTTTCTTCTGCGACCCAAGCTGCATAACGTTACGGAGGGCATATATCTTGGAACAACTGGGCTGAGCCAACTGCACCCCTGAGTATATACTCAAACTCGCAGTGAACAAATATTCTGCGGCGATTACTTGCCTGTGCGTATGATTTACACGTTAACTTTGATTTATTGAAAAAATATTCCTGTTAGTAGGAATTAAGCGTAATGAAAAGGTAAAGTTCGTTTGCTGGTCCTTTCTCTGATGTCTAGTACACTGAGTCCTCATCTTGCCTGATACTTTGGGAAGTTTCAGGAAGAGTAATGCTGATGTCTGCTTTTGATAAGTGATGACAGTGTGAAGTTCCTGCTTTGAGCTCCATTGAGGCCAGTGAACTTGGAACATAGATGATAACTGAAAATTTGGGTTGTTTTAATGTGTTTTTTTTTTTAAACTTCTAAGTGCTTTAGACCTAGCTTGTGACAAACCTTTGATGGAGATCTTGCAGACTGGCGTTTTTTCCTATGAAATAAAGGAATAAGGAATGCTGTGTCTTGAACGCGGAGTTGATGAGTTACTCTATATCCAACACTGAAACCGAACTCCAGTCTGAAGCTATTTAAATCCTGTCTTTGTAGCAGCACCATACCACAGCAGCTATTTGCAACTGCCCAGAGCCTTCCTAAAAAAAGTTCCTTTGCTACGCTGGAAATTTCTTGCTGATTTAGTTGAGGGAGGAATTAGATTTGGCTGGCTCCATGGAGGGAGGAGAAACTTGAAGGGAATTTCAGAACTTAATTTCATGGTATTAGTCTTGAAATATCTTCTTGTTCTTTTCAGGCATGTCACCAGAGAAGGCTGCTGACACTGCATTAGACTACATGAAGACACGAGTTGGGGGGCTGGGGGGCGTCATCGTTGTTAACAATTCAGGAGAGTGGGCAGCAAGGTTCTCCACCAAGCAGATGTCCTGGGCTACTGTAAAGGATGACCAGCTGCATTATGGGATTTATGCTGGGGAGAGGCATACGAAATCTGTTGATGAAGCACTTGCATCTGAAAGTGAGTGATTCTGAGAATGAAGAAACAGTAACGAGGAAGAATGAAGATCTCCAAATTTTGCTGGAGGACAATGACAGTTGATTTCATCTCGTTTGAAGATCCCTACTCTTTGGATTGGTTCACAGGCATCGCCACGTTTACAGTCAACATGAAATCTGGACGTAGTTCTTCAGTGGTCACAGATATATGTGTAGTGTTTATTAATACCTTCGTGAAGTCAGGAGATCCTCCTTTTCTAGATAAGAAAGAGAATGGTCAGTAGGTTTCTTGGTTAGCTTGCCTTCATCCTGCATTAACGGGAGCCTGAGTTTCAGTCTTAGAGCAACCCCTTTCCATGCCCACTCTCAGAGACTGCTGCCAGGATGATTTGAGAGATGAATTCCTATTAATTAAAAACTGACTTTCGAAAATTGTGTCGCTCTCCAGAGTCTCGTGAGCAGTCATCCCCTGATAACAAAGTGCTCACTGTCAGTGAAATACCACCAGACGGCTGTGAAGAGTTGAGACTGCGTCATTGTCACAGGCTTGAGGTAACTATCAGGGGAAATAGTAATGAAGTAAAGAAAATAACTTTCCTCCAGAGATGGGAAATGTGATGCTTTCTAGGGAGTCCTATTTTATTCCATTCATTGGCATCAGACCTACAATAAAAAGCAGGCTACAGTATCCTGAAGTACATGTGGGTAGTTAACAGGAAGAATGTTATTAACTTAGTATCTGGGGTAGGAACGAAGAGGGTCATGATTTCAATGAATGTAAATAAACCAGCAATCTTTACTTCAATACAAAGGTGATAGGCACCTTTTGAGTCAAAATGTGAGAAAGATGATTAACTGGAAAAATAATTATTTAAAATCATGTGATAAAAGCAAGCTGTACTAAAGCAAATAAAACTGCCTCTTAACAAGCTGCTTGTGTGAAGTCTGAAACCTTTTCTGGAGAGGTTTTCTTTTTAAAAAAGAACTGATGTTCTTTATTACCTCTACTACGGTTTCTTCATTAAGATTTTGTACTTTTAAAAGAAAGAGAAAAATCTCTTTTTCCTGTTTTTTGACTTAACTACTTTTTGTGTGTGTGTTGAAACTGTGTAATAACCTTACGGATTTTAGCTGGTGACTGGATTTCTTCTGTGGACAGATTTGTATGCTATAATTGCATGCCATCACACTGTGGAATGTTCTCCTTACAAGATAACCCAAAACAACATAGCAAACCCCTTAAATCATAGTTAGAAACTACTCATACTTGTGTCCCAGCTGCAGTGAGCCAAGTTACTGAGTTGGCTCGTGCGGAATGGTAAGGCTGCCAAGGCTGTAACCTGCTCTCTACTTTGATCTGTGCTTTATTAGATGTTGCAGATGGCAGGATGTAGACAGGGATGGCTCAGAAGTAGATGGCTCCTGCAAAGCATGACCGTGGAGTGCTTGTGTACCGTGTTCCACAGGAGATCATGTGGAAAATGGCTGCTTTCTGACCAGCAGAAGGTTATGAAACAGTAACGGTGTTTAAGGTGTGCTCATCAGTAGGGAGCAGTGGTCTTCTGAGTAAAAATGACTTGATTTCCCTTTCTGTGCATGAGACACCAATCTTACAGGGCCAGACTGTGCTCTGGGAAAAAAACCCAGCAGTATTGTCTCAGCTTCATTTCCAGAATATCAAGGCAATCTAGATTTTTGTGGTCAAGGTTGTGCTTTGTTTACCTCACCTGTCCCTAGTGCAAGATCAAATTCAGGACAAGCAATAGAAAATATGATCTCCACGAGTGCTGCCAAATTGTGCTTTGTGGCATGGTTTTCATAAAATTGCTCAATGATTTTTTTTGTAATAAAAAAGAAGCAAATGATTTTTTTAGAGCTAAATGCTGATACACAGACATGGATGTAGGCTCAGATTAAAGAGTCCGTACGTGGCATGTTGCTTCTAGCCATTCTTTTGCTTGACATAGCTGGATAGAGGAGCATTTAGCCCAATAATCCCTCAGCACCTGGTGTATCATCTTTGACCAGCTCTGGTTTCGTTTTCTGGGTGGATACAAGCCTGTTCCCGCCACGCTCCAAGCTGACCGAAGCCCAGGTGATGGTTAGCGTAGCAGCAAGCTAATATACCTGCTGAGTGGTTCATTGGCTAGGCTTTGGCATGATGCTAACCAGGACAGTTGGCCTTGGGTTAGCTTTGAGCAAGCCCGCCTCTGCCCAGAAGGTACCACCACGCACGGCGGCAGTACAGATAGGATCTCAGAGCAGGAACAGCAAATGGTAACCGTTGTTAATTCACTTCAGCTGTTCTCAGGAGCAGTACAGATAGGATCTCAGAGCTGTCAGAAGGAACAGCAAATGGTAACCGTCGTTAATTCACTTCAGCTGTTCTCAGGAATATGATGTAATACATTGCTGGCACTTAACAAAGAGCATTATCCTATATAGGCCCTTCTATTGCTCATCACCAGACTAGCTGGGCACCTTCCAGCAGTGCATTAAGCTGTGTGACTGCCATCTGGTCTGTATGACTTGTTCTGTCTCACCCGCTCCAGGGTAGCGCGCTCTGTGTGCCTGTCTTGGGAAAACCTATCTGGTTTTCAGAAGCATGCCTCTGCTGTTACGCCTTTCAGCTTAAGCAGAGCTGAGAGGGAGGAACTGGGGCCCCGGCATTAGAAGGACATGGACCGGTTGGAGCGAGTCCAGAGGAGGCCGCAAAGATGCTCAGAGGGCTGGAGCACCTCTGCTATGGGGACAGGCTGAGAGAGTTGGGCTTGTTCAGCCTGGAGAAGAGAAGGCTCCGGGGAGACCTTATTGCCCCTTCCAGTACCTGAAGGGGCTACAAGGAAGCTGGGGGGGACTTTTTACAAGGGCCTGTAGTGACAGGACAAGGGGGAATGGGGTTAAATTGAAAGAGGGGAGGTGTAGATTGGATATCAGGAAGAAGTTCTTCCTGGAGAGGGTGGGGAGGCACTGGAACAGGTTGCCCAGAGAAGCTGTGGATGCCCCATCCCTGGATGTCTTCAAGGCCAGGCTGGATGAGGCTTTGAGCAACCTGGTCTAGTGGAAGGTGTCCCTGCCCATGGCAGGGGGGTTGGAACTGGATGGTCTTTAAGGTCCTTTCCAACCCAAACCATTCTGTGATTCTATAAAGGTTCTTCCATATGGAATGACAACACTTCTCCGGAAGACCTCTTCTAGGACAGCATTCCTCTTTCTTCTAAAAAGGTGGGATGACAACAAATGGTCAGGCCTAACTTTTGAAGAAACTGGAGAGCTGGTAAGGAAACAGTTGTTTTCCCTCTCCCTCCCTCTCCCCTTTCATCATGTTTGTAGAACAGGGCGAGACACTGTTGCTGACATAAGAAGTGGGTGGTGTTGCACAGGGCTACCTAAGTTTTTAATATCCTTACATGTCCCCTGGCATTTGGGAATATTGAGAAATTGCCCTATATAAGGACTTTAACAGCTTTTATAATTATAAATATGGTTGAATGATGCTGAACTTCAAGGGTATACTGACAGCAACATGGGAAGCTGTGTGCCACAGCCCTGCACTGCTGGTGGGAAAGCGCCTCTCATCCAAATGGCTGTGACCTGGATATCAAAGAAGGAAAACTGAGGGTCTATTGCCAAGAAACTGAGTGTCCTTGGCATGTAGCAAAGCAGCAATAGAGTTTTAATTATCTAATTAAAGTGTGGCATCCTGTTATTTTATATCATTTAGAAAGCCAGTTGTGGATGTTGTCCTGCTTCTTTCTTACTACTCTGTGGAAAGGGTCCCTGACCTGAGCAGGTAGCAGCGATGGGCGTACGCATCAGAGCCAGGACATTAACGAAAGCGGCAGAGTCAGTGGCTTTGCTCACGTGGCTTTCGTTCTGTGCAGGTTTTCCTTCTTCATCTTTGCGAGTTAGAAGTAATTAAAAATTGTTCTGCGGGAGATGTAGGACATCAGTGTTTGGAAATTTGGCTTTATTTTGGTTTTTTCAGTGTTCTACTTTGTCCTACATTTTAGCTCGGTCTCTGGGGTGCTTTTCATTGACTTTGAAATCTGTCTTGGCAAAGTTTAAGCCCTCGCTGTTTTGCTTGTTTCTCTTCTGCTCTGCTTTTCCTTTGATATGCTCTGATAAATATTTGCTGTGGGACAGATTTCAGCCTCGGTTACGTCGGTATAAACGAAAAGCACAGCCACTGAAGTCCGTGATTACGCTAGAGGAAGCGAAATCGGACGTGGGCTCGCCTGCCTGAAGCCGGTAGCTGTGTGAGTGTTCAAACAACCTTCGCTAAGGAGGGAGGGAAAAGAGAGGGGACGGAGGGCCTGCTGTGGGGAGCCACTGTGCGAGGCAGGACTCTGGTCTCCAGCAGTGCCAGGGTGGAGAAGATGCCCAGAGAGATAGTTACATGCGCATGCTGGCAAATAAATACGTGTCAAGTGCTTCACATAACAGAATCTTAAGGTCACACGGACTGGGCGAGCCAAGAGTCATTTTGGTTTAGACGTGTAAACCACAAAGGAGGGGAATCTCATTTTCCTTTCCACCGCAGTCCTTACTCTCCATTTACTGGGGGTACATAGGTACCCTACAACCGCTGTGTAAATGAGCTTTGCCAGACCTGGTCACACGTGCTTTAGCTTCAATTATTTTTGACGTTCTTGCCTTTTGTCCTTTAAAATTCTTGCTTGGAGTGAGGCTCGTTTTCTCGAAAGTCCTCCCTAAGTCCTTCTCCGCTGAGGACAGGACGGGTTACAATGCGGTCTGCCTGGGCTTTAGCCCTCCAGCCCCGCACTTTTGCCCCTTTACTGCTAGAGTTTTACTACAACTTAAGCTATGTAAATGCACGGTAGCATGCAGCTTATTAAATACTCAGCTGCTTCCAGACTTAATGGCTCTGCCTGGTCCTGCCTGCTCAGCGGCATAGCAGGCTGCGCGCTTAGCAACCCGGGCTGCCCCCAGTGCATCACCCCCCTGTGCCACTTTTCCTACTGCCTCCCCGCTGAATATAGTGGATATTTCAAGCTTTTTTCTGATGGTACCCAAAACCTTGTCGAGGTTCAGGTGTAGCTACCACCTGCCAGCCACAGCCTCTGCTAACAAGTGCCTTAGAACAACACCACGAGGGCTGGCTAGTAGGGGAGACAAAACCCAAGGCTG